TTCAGCACTCCATCTGTATTCAGCAAAACACTTAAGCATATGCTTAATTTTAACTTTAGCTCAGGTAAGCATGAGATTGCCTCCATCCAAATTCAGCATAGCTTTTTAAGTATGTGCCTAACTTTTAACATATCCTTAAATCCTACTAAAGCTAAAATCAAACACATCCTTAAGTGTCTTCATGAATATGGATAACTACTGAATGAGGTCTGATGAAATGAACTCTGTTGGCCATTAAATAACAAGAAATGCCCAGCCATAATTTCATTGATATCCTACAGGCAGGGAAGATATAACAGAGAAATAAAACAATTTTTTTGTGTCTTGAAATTCTGAAAGCTAAACTGTGTACTGTTGAAGATAAAGTATTTTGTAAACTGTGGGGGGTCTTTCTAACCCTTGAAAGGACTGTATCCATAGGGAGTCTAGACTTCATTCCCAGTGTTCATTAATTCAGAATGTTCAATAAAATTGTTTCGTTCTTTAAACAAGACATTTCAAATAACTTTATCTAAATCTAATTAAAATTACAAATTATAAGGAGAGTGCAGCCAGTCGCAGAAACTTACAAAAGAAAGTGAGTATACAGGTGGTAAGGATCTTACAGCATGTTTTCTATGATGTCGTTTTATTTTCACTGCTGATGTGTTTGATTCACATCACCATTCTTCATTTCAGTCCATTTTCACTTTTGCTGCTTCAACCTCTACAGTCTTTCTGCACTATTTATGTGAAAAGCTCTTTGCATTTTTTATTTCAGATCCTCTCCTATTGCAGTTCATGAAGTCTTTCAACAGTAGGCTGTTAATCCTTTGCAGATTAATATGATTTCAGTGATAATCCTTTCATTTGTTGAATTTTTAAGACATATAATCATTAAAGAAAGCGCTTGACAGATTTTCCATTAAAGCAGTTCAAAGCAGGTGGTATGCCTTTAATGTATGTCGGTAGCACTTTATGTTGCTCATTTATAAAATTAAATTTGCAGATGAAGCGAATAAGTCTAGGGTTAGTTATTGGTCTTTTCCCTTTGGTATTACAGTTCAAATCCAGTTAAGAAAAAAATATTCAGGGGTTTGCAGGCAAATCAGGGCTAGAATATCTGTTTGAATGCTCTTTTCAAACTCCATTGCTGCTTTTCATCTCGAGCAAGGATCAGCTTGGGTTCTGTCCTGAGACCGTAAAGCATTAATTTAAGTATATGTAGTAAGAAACAAAGTATAATTCAAATGTGAGCTTTGCCTTCAGGTAGAACGTAGGGCGTAAATGGTTTACAGGTTATTCCAGTTCTTTGTACAAGGCTAAATCTTACCTTCATTGAAGTTAAACTTATGACTGAAATACTCTTCCCCAGATGAACCTGAAGTCCGTAATTATCCCCCAATAATGGCACACATAAAACTCTTGATATTAGGGATTTTGGTTTACTGTTGATTCCCAGCTCACCGTCCATGACTGTCTTTTTCATCTAATTCTTTTAACCTCTTTTTTTGTCTTCTTTTTCCTCTGATATTTCCCATATTGATTTATTTCTGATTTTCCTGTTCTTTTATGCATGCTGATGAAACAATAGGGAGGAAGAGAAAGTGCAGGTATTAAAATATAGTGATGCTGAATGCTCTTGTAAGCCACATTTTAGCTAAGCTCTCAAAAGCGATTCTTCAAAGCTAATAGACAAACAGTAAAAATGCTTTTTACCTAGAGATCTGAAAAACATTGAAAGTTCATCAAAACCTCTGTTTAAACGAATAGATAGAAGTTGTGGCCTGTCATAGTAGGCAGAATTTTTGCTTTTATATACTGAAAACTCATAGATACTTTGGGCAGGAGGGAAAGGAAGCAGACACCACAACGCTTAGAGAAAATCAGGTCCTGAACTTGGCAAACCTTTAGCTGATTTTGTCACATATTTGCAGCTTTAAAATGATTTGGCCTTTGCAACAGCCAAAATAAGTGTCCTTTAATCACTTCCAACCTATTAACAGATGGGCAAACAGCTTTTATAAATGGGGCATACAAAATACTCCAATATCAGCCAAAACTAATTAGTAGCATTATCTGAACTGAAATTTGTAAGGATGGGATATATATCAATGCAGATAAACTGATAGAAATTCCTTTTCAAATATCATGCTTGGTACTTGTTCTGCTCTGGTATATTCTAAACACATTAAATAAAACCCATTTTTTCTGTTTAGCTATATTCTTCCGTAAATTTTCCTGTAAAAGTTACCATTAGAGATAGTGTAACTGAGAGAAATTACACTGAGAGGCAGTTTAGAATACATTTTTGTGGCATACAAGAGAAAAAGCAGTGTAACTGAACACAACCATAAAATTAATTAATCTTTAAGAACAGCATAAAATACTGATATAAGACATTATTTATACAGCAGTGCCAGAGCATATTAAATATATCTTTGCACAGCGCTATTAATCAGAATATGTAAATTGCATGAAATTAAATTGTGATATTATAAAAAAAAATTGCCCCATGTATAATTCAATAGGAAGAGCCATTCAATGCATTCCCATCAGATCTACATCATGAATTTGATTTTACAAAGACATCTGTAGTGCAGACAGCTGCTGTACCTAAGTGAGGAGTTGATTGTACACTTGATCTTTCAAACAGCCACTTGTCCATATCTTTCACATACTTCTTTTTATCATGAATCTACAAAAGAATGTAGTGGTTACAAAATCAGAACTGTTCTAAAATACGTTTTCATTTAAAAAAATAATAATTAAATGTGTTGATTTTAGGAAGACTTTCTCTCCTTCTACCCAAGTGCCCCGCCTTCTTCAAATAATCTACCTCTATCTCAGCTTTTTTTTTGATTTGAGGATCCTGTTTGAAAAGTCAAACTTTATGTAGAATCTGAAATAAATCTGAAAATAATGTTATGGAAACATTTCAAACTTTTCTTCCTGTAAGATAACACGATAGGACCTGCCCTCCCACATTTGAAAGACTTTTTCTCCAAATTTGGAAAAAAAATAATCTCTAGGAATACTGTGTATACTCTATATACCCCTGTAGATAATCAGTCAGGTAGTTCCCTTCCTGTCCATCTAACATAATGTCGTTCCTTGGTCTTTGAAGACAGTGGGTTTGATTAGGCTAGAGATGGAGCCCTTGGATATCCTTATACTGGGTACACTCTAATGTCTCAGAGTAGATACATCACCTGGAACTCACTAGACTTGTCTACTAGAAAGGTTGTGGTGATGAGTATCCAGTCAGGGTATTCCCTGTGCAACCTATGAAACTGCAATTTCCTCAAAATCCTACAAAGAAATTAAAATGTTGCTCTTTTCTAATAGGATATCTGGGGAAAAAGTAAATGTACACTCTCTGCTGGTGTGGAGCTGAATTAAGCTGGTAGAGTGTTCAGTTCCTTGCTCAGTGAAACAGATTAGAGGGTTTATCAGATTAAAAGTGAATGTTGAAATCATGGTCCCATATTGTGAGGTTATATGAAACACCTGGAAGATTTTATAGCCAGTAGAGAGATCAAGATTGATGGAACAGATTTGTCTTTGTGGCATAGAGTAGAGTGATGAATAAGTTCAAATGATATTTTTTAATTATAAGAAAATGGTCTGATGAGAAATCCTGCAGGCTCTTGGCTAGATGAAGAAAGTACCATAGAACACCAGAAACCAATAATTTTGAAATTCATCATTTAAGTTATTTTGTTTTTAAAAGACTCAATACAATATAACCACAAAAACAAACAAAAAACTAGCAAAAGAATATTTTGAGAAATACTCAGATCTCAATTTCTCAAGAATTTTATCTGACTAGCACCTTACTTTATGAATACCAAACATCAAAAACCATTTTTCTCTCAATTGAATGATATTTCCAGCAGATTGGTTTAATCTTGGCACAATCTAGATGTATTAAGCAAAATTAAGGCTTTACAACATAGAGCTGCTTATGACCTTAACTATAAAATGACTATTTCTATTCACAATTATACCTTCAGGAGAAAATTCTAAATCTGATTGATGAAAAATCCTCAGCTATGGTTTGGTTTACATTTCTGCCAGTTACACTGCTTGAAATGCAAAATCTAACATTTTTGATTATTTATCATATGCATTGTGATCATTTCCTCAGTTGGGACATAGTCAGGTCATCATATGGGAGGACTGTAGAGATGAAACTTCGGAGAGTTCCTTTCTACTCCTCTGTATCAAGATTAAATTGAGAGCTTTCAGGTTTTTAAAATTACTTTTAGCAATTTTACTGAAGCAAATACATGTATAGTCCAGGATATTGAATATCTTGGCTTTTCTGGTATTTCTGCTATCTTGTTTTGACAGGAAAATCTCCAATACAGCATTTCCTGCTGTGTTCTTATGAAAAGGATTGGTTTCAATACATTTCTCTGGTCTCGTAAAATCTGGTTTTATGTGTGTGTGTGTTGAAATTTCCTGGCAACTTTGACGAATACACATTAATAAAATCCATGAAAGTTTGCATTCATATGGAAGAGACACTTAAAGCTTTCCCTGTCTATCAGCTGTAGCTTGTATTACCAGGTAAATTTTAAGAGTTGGCAGGTAATTTATTTCTTTAGTCTTACTCAAATTACAGTGTATTTGCACACAAAAATAGGACTTTTTATGTTCTCCGTTTTGTAAAAGAAAAAACAAACCAACAAACCTGTACAGTTAAATAGTAATTCAAAATGTTAACAGTTTTGAAAAGAACTTAATCTTTATAGTTTTCAAAGCCATGGGCATTGTGCAGATCTACGCAGCTGCAGCAGAACAGTTGGCAAGCAGATTTGGATGCTAATTCTGTAATTGGAGATGGTAAATGACCAACAGTTCCTTTTCAATCTTTTCAAGCTATTCATGTAAATAAAAGGATTCTATGTGATTCTGTAATTATTTTAGGTGCACATTACAATTTGTCTTCTAGAATTTTTATTTATAGTTCAACCATTTGTTCACCAAACTAAAAAATGTACGTTAATTTCTAGTGACAAACACCTTGACCTTCAAACCCAGAAGAAAAATATCACTCAGCTGGAAGTCTTTGAAGCCTCTCGAGATAGTAGAAAGCATCCTAGCATTAGAGAAGTGCTTAAAGCTGTCATTTGCATTCTAAGATACATGAGAAGGTGGTTCGAACACAGGGCATTCAAGATAGTAAAGATTAACGCAATATCTTGATTGTTTAATCCATTCAGCACTTATATTTTAGTAGTATAAGAATTCTTGATTATTATTATTTTGCTAATAAACAACCCCCCTGCTCAGCTGGTCTGACTGTCATGGCTGTTCTGCATCCTCGAGGTTACGGAGAATTCAGTGATAGCTAGTGCTGTGCTGGTACCCCTGTCCATCTCTTGATCTCAAGAAGGCTCTCTATCAGTTTTTAGAAGAGAATGCCCCATGTGATGCTCAATCCCTCTGCCTTCAGAGAGTCTTGGTGTACATGCATATTGTACTGTTAATCCTGGGGCCTGCAGTTTTTCAAGTAGAGAAACAGGATGTAACTAACAGAATGTTTATTTCACTTTTCTTCTCCCATGTTGTTTTAAGTTGCAATTGCTAAAAAAACCCATGTATTCTATAGAATGTAGACCTTGTATTCTATAGGATAATTACTGTCTTTCGTGTATATCCTCTAGTATTGCTAATTGAAATACCAGTTCCTGAGGAATGACATACCAGTTCCTGAGAAACTACATGCTGTAATATGCACTTTTGCGTTCTATCTCAAAGTTTACACCAAGTTAAAAGAGCTTTTGCACGTTGCAGACAGTGTTTATGGAGGCTGCATAACTTCAGTTATCATTCATCTAATGATGGCTAAGCCTCCTATCTAAGAAGTACACTGTGAGAAAACTTGTATCTAATTCAAAGAAGGGGGTCAAGTAGGAACTGACTAATCCATTAAACAATCTATTTTATTAGTTTTCCAGAATCCTAAAATAGGGTAATCAAAATCAGGTCATATTATTTGGTAAACATCAGCCTTTAGAAATATTATTTTGCTTTATACACTGGAGGAGAGGGAGTTGTTGCTGCTAATATAATTAATGATGAGGTGAGCCAGACTTTTGTGATATATACTTTGGACTGTAGAAAACAAATACATATTTTTCTTCCCACAACATATGTTTAATAAAAAAAAGAAATTGAACACAGATTTTCTCATCCTGCCAAATTTAATGGTTCCAATTTTCCTCTTCTGAGGTACAGAACCTTGTCTGTCCTCCAAGACTGATTATGGGCAGATAGCATTTCATATTGTTCCTGATCAACTTCTGAAACTTGGGATGAAATGTACTATCAGTACTATGGAGTAATTGTTTTTATGTACATGTTCATCTGTTTGTATGAGTTTACATGAATGGAATTTGTTCTTGTTTTCTTTTAAGATTTTCTTGTACGATGCACACCTCTTACTTCCACCTTCTCATCTGTTTCTTTAGTCACCCTTCACTTGTTTCTTACAGTAGTGAAAGTGAAACATATCTGTAATTACAGTCTACAAGTCATGGACCATCCCTACCAGCAGCTGGAAGGTACTACTCTAAGATAACCTGCATTAGGTGTCAAACTGGTGTTTTGGATCTCTCTCCACCAATTTGGTATTTTGAATTAGAGCAGTGGATAGACAAGAAAAAATGTGAGTCGTCCTATTTTTTAATAGAATTGTCTTTTATTTTAATTTCAGTACTCTGTTCAATCTTAATTAATATTCTGTGTTTGCAACACAATTATTTTAAAGTGCTTTTTGTGTGCAAGGATGATTTCATGCCTCCATATGCACAGCTGCATTCCTTAGATGTCATACTAGCCCTATAGAACTGTAAGGTTTAGCCTGAATAAAAAGGTTCTCTTGGTCACTTGATGAGTTTATGTAAATAAATTCAACTTATTTAAATAATATTTTGAAATATTAATATTTTAATTTTTATTTTATAAATAAATAACAAATAAATAAAGACATTAAATAAATCAGTAACTGGATGAGCTTATTTAAATATCTTTAATCATTAAATATTTTATCTCTTTTAAGCTGCTGTTTGTGATCATGTCAGTGTATTTTGGTTCTTAGTCTGTAACTTTGTTAGCCGTGAAATGATGGGCAGTGTCACAAACTGTCAGAAAGGAGGATTTGTAATGACATATTAGGTGAGAAAGTGCAAAACTGAGTGTCATCGCAATTTTCTTAACAGTTTATCCTTTTCATCATTCTAGCCAAGATTTTTTTCCTAGTATTATTGCCATTGTACGTTGGGAGGATTTTGTGGAAAATGAATAGCACTTGATGAGATGAATGGGCATCTCCCATAATGAAATAATAACTTGTGTGTCTACAGAGCCTCTTTAAAGAAGATTTCTCTGCAATTTTTTTTGAGCTATCCGTGTATTGTCTATTTAATTCGTGGAACTACTTTTTATGCCTGCACTTTTTTCCCCTGTTTCCTCATCAGTTTGGTAGCTCACTATAAAGTCAAGCAAGTGTGGTAGAGAAGATAGATGCTGTTGTTCAGCTGTATGGTAGGAAAGTCACTAAACAGCAAGGCTCAGGAGAAGCATAAATGACAATATGAAGAAGGCACAGAGACAAGGGCTGCTTCTTGTGGTACATAAGCAGAGAAGTATTGAAAGAAGAGGAAACAGTTGACTAATACCAAAACTGCCTGTCTTTAGCTCCAAATGCTCTGCTCACTCCCCTCTTCATTCTTCTGGATGTTTTTGTTTGTGTAGTCTGTATCACCCCAAGGACTTTATGAAGATATTAAGGAAAATAAAAAGCAGTTTAGACTGAAAAGTTTAGTCTGAATTTCCTTTTTGTCTGATCCATTGCCCTTCAAATTCCTCTTCCAGAATAAGAGGTGGTCATTTCATCACAGAATATGTTTAAGATTAGTTGAGTGTGTACACTAGAAAATAGCTTCCCTCCTGGGAAAAAGCTGAGAAAAAGAGAATAGGTATGAATTTTTAACCATGCATCTAAACACAATACTGCAAATTGGACTTAGGTTACCATTTTCATACCTAAGAGTTAGAAATGTATTGACTTTTTTTTACCCTTCTCCTTTAAGTAGATATTTCAGAGAAATAAGAATGTACTACCCACTAATTAAGATGTTGCAGCCCAATGTATTGTCTTTTTTTTTTTTTTTTTGCTGTTTTTTGATTCATGGCCTTCAAAGACTAGAGTACAAACAAGGTAGATGCTGTTTTTCTGAAATGTTAAAGTGACATTAATTTTCTCTGCTTTGAAGACAGAAAGAGACATGTTATAGATGTTCAGGCACAACACTGGTGTTAACCCTTACAGGAAGTCTAATGGCTTTGTTAATTAGTAGTGTATGAGCTAGACTGCTAACCTCTGTCTCTCAGGGAGAAAGATTTGCAAAATCACACCAAATCAGCAAAAATCTGGATATTACCTGAAATACTCTGTGGACATGAAAGTATAGGAGACTGTGAAGTTTTTTGTATTTATTTGGTACTTTTCCTTTCCTGAGCAGTACCAAATAAATCACACAACACCTATCTCTGAGTTACTCTTCTTGATTGAAACTGCATTATATACTATATTAAATTGACTGTTAGCCTACTGCTGTGATTTCCCCCTTTTTTTTTTTTTTAAGTAACTGTGGCAAGGCATCCATGGGCATTTGAATTACAGTGATACTGGAGAAAATTTCTTCCACTCTGAGTTTTCCCCTTGCCTTTTACCTCAGGGGGAGTGGTTTAATATACTGATTTAGGTTGAGTGTATCTACCAAGTAAAAAAGAGTACTAACTGCTATAGTTTTTCACCTCCCTCAACCTCTTTCTACCAGACAAGTTCTACTGACCATCATTTTTTCCTGTTGAGAAATTCTAATAGAGGAAAGAGATGTTTCTCAGTGTAGCTGTTCTCCTTTTCATTCAACAAGGATGATGCATGACCTTCCCTTCAGTGCAAGAGTAAGTCAGCAGCAAACTGCACCATATAACCTCTGCATAGGCCTATGTTTCCATACAAAGTGTGTCAAGCATACTAACTTGGCTTTGAAAAAAATAGTGCTAAAAAAGAAGAAAATATTTCTGAAGAAAACATTTCTGAAAAAACCTTCAGTGCCCAATACTTTATTGTAAAGATATGAAAAAACTTCTCTTTTTCAGTTTATGAAACAATGTTTTCCCAGCGAGAAGTTGACAAAAAGATGGAGAGAAATGATCTGTTTGAATTTTTGAGATAGTGTGGATAGTAGGATACAGCAAGTCTTCCAGTAGGTTTGTTCAGGTACATGGTCTCTTATAATGGCTTTACAATGGTAAAAAATTTCAACTGCAGGTTCTGCAGGATTTGGGCTTTTGGCTTGTTTGATTTTTTTACTATTCTTAAAAGCATAGTCAGGACAAAACTTACCTGATACTGATGATCTTTTTCATAATGGAGCATTTTATCATTATACTTGAAATAAAGTCCATTTCTCTGCAATTCCACTGTGTCTAAAAATGCTGGAATATAATTCCACACTATTTTTAAATATACTTAAGAGGATGTAGAGCAATTTTGTGGCAGGTTTGCATTTGCAGATGTCTCCAGGCAAAACATTAACCCCTTTGTAAATTCAGTGGTGTTTACCTTCCAACATCCTTAAACGACTCAGTGCAGAGAACTTTTAGAAATATTAATAGATGAGAATATTCTTAGAAGACTGTAAATAAAATAAGACCTCACAAGGCAAGAATTAGGGTATCCTGAAATGTAAATTGGAGGGAGATAATTTGTTTAAAAATCAAAATAAAACTGTAACTAATCAAGCCCTTCAAACACATCTAGAGTCTCATGTTCCTTCTGGCTTTTGTTTTTCCCAGGGAAGTCAGTGGAAGAGCCTGCAATGATCCTCTCAATGTAGAGCAGCAGCAGCAGCTCCTGTGTGACTTACAGAGAGAGAGTCTTTTTGGGAACCTCACAAGTTGAGGTGGGAGATGCCACTTGCAGTTTCTCCTCTAGCACACTTTAATAGCTCACTTTTAATTTATAGTGACATATGTAGGTGCTGTGAACAAAGCTGGTCTAAACATGAGTTGTCCTAAGTTTGCAAGTTATCGCAACTGGGGGATTCTTGTGAACTTCTTTGGAGGTTATGGTTAATTTTATGTATCAGCACTTCCAAAGACTGCTTTTAAAGACCAGCTTTATTTAGTGAGAGAAACCTACATCTAGTTGGCACTTTTGACTTGTTGATGACCTACATGTGGTTTCTTTTTATCATAATTTTTTGCATGCCTTTCCAAGCTTTCTTTCCAAGCTGCATCTTTGAGTGTCTGACCACACATTGTGCTTGCACATTATCTGCTTTCCAGTGTTGGCTTCCAGTAAATGCAATCAGTTTTTCATGGAAAATCATGTATTACATGTCATTTAGGTCACATTCCTAAGACAGTGTGAATAAGACCAGGTATTTTTAGTCATTTGCTCAGTCCCCATCACTATGGTAACAGGAGATTTTGTGACTGGGAGACAGATTTCTGTCTTATATCCTAGATTTGGGAGACTATTGCTACTTTTCCCTGTGTTCAGGAAAGGTTCATGCTTCCCAAATCATTATTCAATTTATTTAGAGTCTCTTAGCTGTGAAGTGCTATCAAGACTTGTTTGGCCATTTGAGGCAGTGTGTAGGCTTCTTATGCATTTTGATTTTAAAACTCTCCTAAATTGTTAACATGTAAATGATGAATAATTGCTAAAACGTGGAGATGTGCCTGTGTCTAAAGGGCACCCATAAAATGATTTCCAACATGGAAGCATTTTGAATAAATTCCACTTATCTGCAAAGTGCCCACTCTTTCTCAATATTATAATATAGATGTCATTATTTCTGAAGATGAATTATTAACAGAGTAAAACCTTGCTAAATTGCTCGGGAGAGACACTGCAACTGGTTGAATGTTTGGAATTCCTGAATACTGATTCGATGAAACCATCTTCTGTGCCAGTGCAAAGCACTCCATAGCATCAGTCTGCTTATTCAGGAATGGAAAGATAAGGGGGAAGGGGAGGTCTATGTGTCGAGGCAGAATGGTGGAGAGATCTACTGATAGTTACTACACTGAACTTTTTTGGGTGAACATTACATCCTGCATGGCCCTGTGACTAATCTATGGAAGGTTAAAACAGGGACCCTGGCCATGTGGCTATTTAGTTTGAGCACAGGTAAAAAAAAAACATAATCAGATCTCTTGAAAATTTTTCCATCTCATTTTACTCTTACTGTTTTTGTTGGTGGCTTTTTTTTAATTGAATCTAAACATTGCTGAAAAAACAGGGCCCGTGAAAATAGCTGTCCAGATGCTAAATGTCCTGTTACTTTTCCATTTCCAGTAATGAATGAGTACTGTCTGTGGCTAACAATAATTTAGGCAGGAAAATGCTGAAGACTTTTAATTTTACATGTTATCTTGTGAGTTTTAATTACATCAGTACCATTCATAACTACAAATCTGATTTTTATAGAACCTGCTTATTTGATATAAAGGTTAGACACTGAAGACAGTAAAATTATTAGAAAAAAACAAGAATATATGTAGCAAAACACAAATATTCAGCATTAAATAAAAAAGATCTTACTGTCAAAATAAGAAAGAAGACTCTCTGTTGCAAAATAACAGTGAAATGTGCATTAGAAATATTAGGTGAGATAGGAGAAAAAAGCTGAATAAATGAAAGTCTACTAGACATGTTGTTTTGAGTCTCTGTGTTTGTATAAGCAAAGCCAGTAGAATAATTTGACCAAACAAGACTGTAGTCATGACACTGTCAGGAACTAAAAAGACAGTGGTACCAAGAGTGGACTCATGAGTGCTGAATGGAGGCTTATACAGACAAACATGTTTGTGTTTTCCTTTAGAAATCTACTTTTTGACTCCTGGGAAACCAAGGGAGCTTCCTTTATGTCAAATGAATTTAACCACAGGTGATTCTTCAGATGTATTTGTACATACCTTGTTCTTCACAGCGTGAGGAAAAGTCAGTCTCTGTGTTACCAGATAACACAGTGCTTGCTGAGAAGTTAGGAACTGACTAGAAAGAATTGAATGGCTTTCTATCAGTGGTGGGGTTTAGCTGCTGGCTTAATGAAAAAGCCAATTAAAATTAAGGTCATAGTGCAGTGATTTTTAGATTTCATACAGCAGTAATGATGCTATTTCATCATATTTCAAACCAATTTGTGTTGCTACTTCATTCTGCTATTGAAAATCAGAATGCCATGCACTATGCAGTCAGGAGAATGCCTCAGTGAAACACTGCTGTACTTTGTTTGAATAAAATAAGAAAAATAAAGCTAATGAACCGATCAATTTTGGCCATATGCTTTGAAGTAGCTATTGAAATTACAGCTAATTGTTATGAAAAATATTTCTTTAAATATTTTTTTTGGAAAGCAGTATTGTAGCCTATTTTTAAATATACCTTTTATTTCTCTGGTTGACTCATTGTGCTGCTTGTTCTATTCAGGTAAACATTTATATCGAGTTCAGAGGAACTATGCATGTGTGTAGGTTAGGTATTGGGACTGCAGTTATTTTGCTTCTATATTTGCTGAAAAGTCCAGCCATATTATCTTGTTATTTAATTCTACAGTCACTGAAATTACTACTATTAATGCTGGTTGAGGCTGGATCAGGTAAATAGTTGTGAGCTAATCCTGTTTATATGTTGTTAAGGCAAACTGTTCACGGTTGCAGCATCCTGATAATTGGAGTATTTTTAAGTAAAATAAACACAGTAAGGATTTTCTCTGCAGTTGGACCTTTTTAGTTGCCTCTGATAAGCTCCATACTTTTTCACCTTTGCATTTTTGATCTTGATAACTAGTCCTGTATTTGTACAAAATATCCAATGTTTAGGCTAAGAATATGAAATATCACACGTTCTACTTGAATTTGAATAATTTCCTGTAAGCAATCTTAATTTATATCAGCCTTGCCTCTTGTTGATTGTTCTGCATTTGCAGGGAGGTAGTAAACCATTTCTTCATTTAAGCAAAGAAGTGCCCAGATTTTTCATATACTTAAATTTTCATGTATATTAGTGGAAGGTAAGGTTTATATAGGCGTTTTTAGTTTGCAGACTGATCCGGCTTGATTTGAAACAACAAATGAGAGTGTAAAACAGTGAAGTCTAAGAGACCTGTTGAAGCAATGTATCCTCATTAAAGGCAGTGCCCATTTGCTTTCAAGCTGCAGACAGACAGGGGAGATGCAGAAGGTCCCCAGCATAGGTGTTAGCATGAAGCTAACAGAGGATATTAGAGCCGTCCCACACTGCCCTTGTCACAACCTGTGGTTCAGAGCTTGACTCATGCTGAACCTTCATCAGTTTTCAGTCCCACTGGGCTGTTCCATGATAACTGGTGCCTGTTAGTGGGACTTTTGGAAAGCTCTCGTGGTTTTGGAGGTTCAGCTCAGAAGTGTCACTCACTCTCTGACTGAAGCTTTCCCCAATGCACCTCGCAGTTATTTTCTCTCTGAATTCTTCCTTACTGTGGTTCAAATTTGTAACTATGCATAAATTGTTAAATAAACAACACCTAACAGTAATTTCAATGGCAGTCATGCCAGAAAAGCCTTATTTGTAGAGCTGGACCCCTCTGTGTTGAGTACCCTGCATGTTCCGAAGAAAAATAAGCTTCCTGCATCACTGATGGGAAATTGCCTCCTAAAGCTGTTTATTTTTCATTAAACAAAATCTTAAAGGACAAGCAACAGGAAGCTGTGAATACTGCAGTAGGAACAAAGGTGTAATAGCTCTCCTACATCTGGCAGAGCACAATACTCAGGAGTTTCTTTCCTTGTGCTGTTGTTTAATAATGTTCTCCACACCTCTGCAGTAATGAACCCTGGGGCAGACGAAGGTTATCCTGATGACCATTTAAGCCAAATATAACATCAAGAAATTTAAATTCCACTGTGTGAGAACTCTACAAGAGAGCTAGTGATAATGAATAGATGCATTAATAGAATGTCTTAATAGAGCCATTGTAAAGCTTCGCATTTCCTACATAATGGTTGCTGGATCAAGGCTAACTGCAAATCTATCTAATGATTCCTTCAGGTCTTTAGGGCTGTGGGTCATTCACTATCAACTGCAGCAAAAGGAAATAAAATATGTAGAGTATACCCTTCTCCTTGACTGCTGATTCTCTCCTGGAAGAATTACAGATTAATATGAGTTTAAAAGGTTAAAGAAT